TGACCAGGATTCTTCACATCAAAAAGCATCCACATGATCAGAGTGGAGCCCCATCCTGGGATCTGAAGTGGTTCAACATTCATAGTCAACCCATAATCAGCATATAAAGCCTTAGAACCAAAGACAAAAGAACCATCATTATCTCAATGGAGTATAGGAAAGGCTTTTGTCAGTAGCAGCGCTAAAATATAAAAGCAACAAATAAAGTGGTGTTAATTGGACCTTACCTCAAATCTAAGGCTCTTTGCGAGCTGACCACGGCTAATATCATGCGAATCAGGCGCTGCAAAAGCGGGAAATTCCACGCATGGCGGGCAGGATGCCTCTCTCTCTTTATCTGTTTGCACCTCAGTTCAGAAGTTCTTGCTCAAGGCAATCAGAAGTGGACTCAATCAGATTAACATCCTGTTGCAGATAGGCACAATTATACATTTGAAATTATTGCTGACACAATCTCTCCAAGCTGTCAGCGCTGTGAAGTCCTCGGATAAAATTAATGTGCAAAAAATGCTGGCGTTCTGCTCTTTGCAAAGTGACGAAGTCGAGCGAGAGGCCAATCGGAATGAACTTCATTCTGGTTATTCAAAAGGAGATAATACCTAGAGTCCAACTTTAAAGGATGGAGACCTCTTTAAGAGAACTACAAACTTCCTATGGTGAAATCAAGAAGACTAAACAAGCTGGAAGGAAACATACCATGCTCATGGATAGGAAGGGAATCAATATCGTGAAAATGGCCATACTGCCCAGGTAATTTATAGATTCAATGCCATCCCCATCAAACTGTATTAGGCTTCTTCAGAATTGGGAAAAACTGCTTTAAAGTTCATATGGAACAAAAAAGAAGCCCACATCTCAAGACAATCTAAGTCAAAAGAACAAGCTGGAGGCATCACGCTACGACTTCAAACTCTACTGAGCTACAGCCAAAAAAACAGCACTGATACTGGTACCAAAACAGAGATAGACCATTGGAGCAGAGTTGAATCCTCAAGAAATAATACCACATCAGCCATCTGATCTTTGACAAACCTGAGAGAAACAAGAAATGGGAAAGGATTCCCTATTTAATAAATGGTGCTAGAAAATTTAACAGCCATAGTGAAAGCGAAACTGGATCCTCCACTTACTCCTTATACGAAATTGACCAAGATGGATTAGAGACTTAAATGTTGAGCCTAATACCATAAAAATTCCTGGGAAAACCTAGGTAGTACATTCAGGACATAGAAGCATGGGCAAAGACTTCATGTCTCAAAACACCAAAACAACAGCAGCAAAGCCAAAAATTGACAAATGGGATCTCATTAAACTAAAACTACTTTGGCAAAAGAAACTACCATCAGAGTGAACAGGCAACCTACAGAATGGGAGAAAATTTTTGCAATCTACTCATCTGACAGACTGCAATATCCAGAACCTACAAAGACTCAAACAAATTTACAAGAAAAAAACAAACAACCCCATCAAAAAGGTGGGCACATAGGATATGAACAGACATTTCTCAAAAGAAGACATTCATACAGCCAGCAGACATGAAAAATGCTCATAATCCTGGCCATCAGAAATGCAAGTCAAAACCACAATGAGATACCATCTCACACCAGTTAGAATGGCGATCGCATTCCAAAAGTCAAATAACAGGTGCTGGAAGGATGTGAAGAAGCAAAACTTTTACACTGTTGGTGGGTGTAAACTAAAGTTCGTATTCATAAATAGTATGGCGATTTACCTCAAGGATCTAGAACTAGATGTACCATATGACCCAGCCATCCCATTACTGGGGTATATACCCAAAAGTTATAAATTATGCTGCTATAAAGAAACATGCACACGTATGTTTATTGCAGCACCTGTCTAATAATAAGACAGAATCGGCAAATGTCCATCAGTGACAGACTGGATTAAGAAAATGTGGCACATATACCATGAATACTAACCACAGCCATAAAAAAGGGTCGAGTTTTGTGTCCTTTGTAGGGACATGGATGCAGCTGGAAACCATCATTCTCAACCAAACTATCAAGAACAGAAAACCAGCTTGCATATTCTCACTCATAGGCAGAACTGAACAATGGTCCTTGGACTCAGGAAGGGGAACATCACACCGGGGCCTATCATGGGGAGGAGGAGGTTTACTGGGAGTTATACCTGATGTAAATGACGAGTTGATGGGTGCAGCACCAACATGGCACAAGTATACATATGTAGCAAACCTGCATGTTGTGCACATGTACCCTACAACTTGGTTAATAAATAAATAAATTAAAAAAAAAAAAAAAAAAAGAAAGAAAGAGTTGGTGGCTCTACAGCAAGCAGAGTTTATGTCAGCACAAGACTGTGGAGGTGGGGACTAAGCAATACCCACTGCCGCTTGTTCAGAACTTACAGGTATGGGCGGGGAGGGTTCTGGGCAGTACATTGCTGCCCCTGGGACGTTAATAAGATATTTCTACTGTGGTCAGGCAGTTATGCAGGATGTTCTTTGTACCCTTTGCCCAGCAGAGTGTGGCCAAGAAGAATGCTTTCTTAGGCAAACTGTCCAGCAGAAGACGAGAGGGATGTCCTGTAGTCAGGTGGTTAGGCAGGATGTCTCTACAGTCCCAACCCCCGTGGAATGTCTCACTTTGACCGAGGTCTACAAAATGGCGGGTGGCTTACAAAATGGTGCACTTCGGACAAACAGATAGGAAGTCATGGCCTTTTGCCTGGAACTGCTTTTTCACCTAGCTAAATCAACAGGAATTTTAGAAGTCTGGTTTACCAGCTGAAGTAAGCTAACAACTGGAGGCTTATTGCCCCAAGGGGATTGTCTTGGGCCTTAGGATGGAAGTGAACAAAATCCTTCAGTGTTTTCAGCTAATGGTGCTGAACTCTGCAGGAAATGCCCAGAAAAGCCAGAGTTTTGCAAGTCCAAGGTGATGACCCTGGTTAGGAGAGTAGTACACCACAGCGAGTTGAAACTTGATAATGGATTACTGGAAACCGTGCAGTCATAGAATTATAGAGATCATCCCTGCACGCATTATTAGAATGTGACAGATGTAGCTTAGCAATTGCATATTTGAGTGAAAGTCAAGTGGACCCAGTGAATAAAAATGAAGGAGGTGTCTTTGTAACCCTTCCAAGCCACACACATACATATTGGCAGAAAGTAGATGATTCAGCTCAAAGGGTTTGAGCAACACAAATGCCCAAGTTACTGGTAATTTACCTAAACTAGCAAGGCACAGGTACGGCGTAAAACTTAAAAAGGAAACAAAGTAGAAATAATGGCCAAACAGCTAATGCGATATAGATTCTGCAGCATAAGTCCAGGCAAGCTATTAAAAGGAAATTATTACTCACAGAAAAATAAACACAGAATCCAGAATTATGTAATGATTGGACATGTACAAAAATATATTATCTACAATGCTCGTTTTTCCATAAAAATTCCTGAAAAGGAAGAAAGGTATAAACCATATTGAGATAAATCATCAGTGGAAGCTGACTCTGACTGTTCCACATCTGAAGATAAATCAGTCAGTGGAAGCTGACTCTGACTGTTCCTAAATACTGGATTTTGCTAAGAGTTTCCAGTGGTTGTCACATAAAGGCTTCAAAGAATATTTAGAACTATGATCAAAGACTGAAAAAGAAAAATATAAAGACAATGACTCAAAGAATGGGGTCTCTCAATAAAGAAAGGGAAACTATGGAAAAGGACCAAATAAGAATTCTAGTTGAAAAATATAAAAACAGTATGGAAAACTCACTAGATAGGGCAACAGGAGTTTAAATTGGCAGAAGCATCAATGAAACTGAAGATAGTTTAGTAGAAATTATCTAATCTGAAAAAGAAAGAAAATAATTAAAGAAATATAACCATGATTTTAGAGGTTTATCAGTCAATGTGAAGAACACCAGCAAATGTGCAATGAATCAGAAAGGAGAAGACAGAGAGAAAGTAGCCAAAAATATTTGGAGGGATGACAAAAGCTTTCAAGAAGCAATGAAACACATTCATCTATAGAGAAAAAAAATCGAAAAAACTTATTCAGGACAAACACAATGATACACATAACTATACATATTATAATTAAAATACTGAACCAATGACAAGGAGAAAATCTCAAAGGCATCAAACATAAAACGACTCTGTACATACAGAAAGTATGCATTCAAAATAAAGGTAAAGGAAAAACATTTCATGATAAACAAAAATGAAGAGAAATGATTACTTAAAGACATACTCTTTAGAAATTCTCTAGGAAATTCTTCAGATTCACAAAAAATAACAGCAGACAGTAACTTGAATCCATAGGGAGGAAGGAAGGTCTCAAAAGTACTAGGGGAACAAAAAGAAAAAAAGAGCTAGACCAAACAAACATGTTTACTTCCATTCATATGAGATTTCATGTAGAGAAATCCAATCTATCTGGACAGACTTCGGAATGCCAGTTTCCTTCATTGGAATCGGGGAACGGCTGTTTCCTGAAAGGTAGGTACATGAGGGAAGAATCTGGAGATTCTGAAGTATTCTACAGTTTAATCTGGGTGGAGAATATATGTAAAACTTTATTCAGTTGCATTATTTAACGTTTCTGTCCTTTACTTTGTGTGTGTTTTATTTCAATTTTTTAAAAATTGAAACGGCCAAATCTGAACTCTTTTAAACAAAAATGAACAAAAACATAAGAATTAGTAAATATTTGTGGAAACTCGGCCTTAGTAACAAGAAGTATAAAATGTGCCTGGGAAAGTGCTATGAAACAAGAGATCTGTTAGAGAAGACAGAAGGAAATACTTCAATTTCTCCCACATGGGCAGCATAGATTTTACGCCTATTTGTTTCCCTCTGAACAGAGAAGATATTTTGAACAGAGAAGTCATTTTGCTCACAAGAGAGGCTCCCACTCTCCCCTTGGCTCTTTCCACCCCACTGCACCCACCAGGTGATTTGCATATTGTGCCCTAGGGAGGACCTCCCCTTGGGAGTCTGAGATAAAAGCTCAGCTCTAAGCTTGTCTTGACTGATCAGGACTCCTCAGTTCACCATGAGGCTCCCTGCTCAGCTCCTGGGGCTGCTAATGCTCTGCGTCCCTGGTAAGGGCAGAAGGGAGATGGGGGAGGAGAATGGGGTGCAATGGTGAGCTCTGGGAGTCCCACAGCCTCCTATGAGCAGTGAGCTGTGGGGGCCTCACTACACTCCTGTGTGTGTTCCTTTCATGTATTGCACGTGCACATCTTGTCCTCCAGGATGGGGCTTGTGATGTTCAAATCTGTGAGAGTGAGGAAGATTCAGGAAGAACCAAGGATCTGTGCTCTAGGGAAGACTGACACAGAAAGAGGGGATGGTGTGGGGTCTTCTGGAGACCACTTTGAGCCATGGATTCCTAGAGTTTCATTTGGAAATTTTATATTCTTGAAATATGAACAAATAAATATATAGCCTGAAACAAACAACAAATCAAAATTTATGAAAATGATGCATAAAGTATCTACATAACCTTGCTCTTCTTTGTATTTATTTCAGGATCCAGTGGGGATGTTGTAATGACTCAGTCTCCACTCTCCCTGCCCGTCACCCCTGGACAGCCGGCCTCCATCTCCTGCAGGTCTAGTCAAAGCCTTGTATACAGTGATGGAAACACCTACTTGAGTTGGTTTCAGCAGAAGCCAGGTCAACCTCCAAGGCTCCTGATTTATCAGGTTTCTAAACGGTACTCTGGGGTCCCAGACAGATTCAGCGGCAGTGGGGCAGGGACAGATTTCACACTGAAAATCAGCAGAGTGGAGGCTGAGGATGTCGGGGTTTATTACTGCATGCAAGTTACACACTCTCCTCCCACAGTGGTACAGCCCTGAGCAAAAACCTCCCTATGGGGTGGCCCAGCTGCCCACATGTGGTGCTTGACTGGGGAGCAGCTCAACAGGGTCTCAGAATCTGTGTAAGAGGAAGATGCTGGAGAAGCAGGGGACAATTCACAGCTGAGGACTCTGGACTTTGAGAGCCCAGCCACACCACAGGCACCACTCCTTTATGCCCTGGCAGTTGCCACAACCTTGACTGTCATAAGCAGCAGGAGAATGAGGGGTCCAGGTGCCCTATGAGTAAACAAGCAAGACGGAAGGGAGAGGAGAAATGACGGCTCACCCTAACGCTCCCTGCCTTGTGCACATTTGTTAATTAAATGTAATCAGCAGAGCAGACAGACCATTGACACAGATTAGGACTATCCATGTTGGATACATCTTTGGGTTTGGCAGTTTTGGGCATATTGTTTAGAGGACATTTGATAATATTTAATATTGATATTTTGCCAGTTTTCTAACTTCCTGATCCCCCTGTCCTCCCACTCCAAAAGACAGTAGAGACACATTCTACACTAGCTATCTTAAGAGGAAGCTGGCTGAGGAAAGTCAATAAAAATCTTGGTTTTGGAGTATCAAATAGATTATTGCAAATTCATAGAAGATACAACATCCTAATGCTAAAATTGTTTAATTAGTCTTCGTTACCTCTTAATGATAGAAAATAAAAGTAGAAAATGAGTCCCTGAAATTCCAAAGGTTGTTTTCAAAAATAAAAAGCATATACTGGAAAATGTAGAGTATGCAATTTTTCCCATAGAAAACTGGAAAAGTACAGAATGATGTGACCATTCTTCCTTCAAAATGTTAAGAATTTAAGACTGGGCAAACAGCAGGGATGAAAGCATGACGGAAACACAGGAGAGGTCAATTTCAGTTAAACTGCCCTTGGCCTTTGATAGGTAGGAATGTGGATGGTGGTGGAGTTGGCAGTTCATGATGTGGACCCAGGAGGCCTGATATGTTTCTTGTGAAGAATCCCAGAGTTGAAGGCACCACTCCCTGGCTTCCTGGGTGGAGCCTGCATCGCTACAAATTTCCTGGGAAAATAGTGCTTTGGGAAGCGTTTTAGGTCTGTAACCACCAAAGGCTTAGTGAATCCCTGTGCGAGGAGACCTGAAATCATGTTGCTCATATCTTGTCAACCCAAGACAGCCAAACAGAGCATCTGATACTCATTCTGCCCCTAGAGACTGCTGGTTGGGTCGGAAGATGTCACAAGCACTGACATACTAAGCAGAAGGCCCAGCAGGGTCTACACCAGCAGTGGGGGCAGTGGGGATGGAGACCGGTGTCCATGATTCAGGCATGCATTCGGGATGCTCTCTGCAGTCTTAGGGATTGGGGGAGCACGCTGTATCCGTGGGAGTTTTATGTCCTTCTAGCCCAGCACCTCCGTCCCTGCCTGCTGACTCAGACTTCAACACGTGTCCCATGGAAAGCATGGGGCAGGTATAGAGGCTGCCCTGTGCAACCCCCAAGTCTTAGCTGGATTCTCCTTTCCCAGGAGAACTCCTCTGCCTGTGCCAAGTCAGAACTTGTGTCCATAGGCAAACTTGGCGGCTATGGCAGGAAGACAAAAAGTCAGGTGTGTCTCAGCTCAATAATGAAACGTTCTTTTTAGTATGGAATTTTAGGTCATCTATTCCTCATTCCTTCCACTGCTTTCTAACGTCATTAAAATCTGACTAACTTTGGTATTCCGTTATTTTAAATGGTTTGTACTTTTTGCAGTGGTTGTTTTGGACTTTCTACTTCCATCTACTTTGCTGTACCTGGAAAAGAAGATTCCTTTTATTGTTTTAACACAAATAAAGTTTCTAGTGTGGTCATCCTACTGTGGTCACATATGTCAACTCTCAGGATTTTGTCAGTGAAGTAATGGCCTCAGAATACACTCGGATGTACTCTCAAATACTATGAGTAAGTTTGAACTCAGAGCACGAAAAAGGTATCAAATCGTATAATAAATAGAACTATGTGGCTACATTAACCGAAACAGATAGTAGTGGTACAAAATGAGACGCAGACAAATGGAACAGAATAGAGAACTCAGAAATAAGGTTGCTCACCTTATAAGTGGACTTCGCCAGGTGCTTCTGCAGTCCTCACTCTGCAGTCCTTACAAGCGAGGACATAAGATACTTGGTTTTCCATTCCTGAGTTACTTCACCCAGAATAATGGCCTCCAGCTCCATACAAGTTGCTGCAAAGGATATCATTTAATTCCTTTTTATGGCGGAGTCATATACCGATATATATATATATATTTTTTCCCCTCAACTTTTATTTTAAGGTCCAAGGTACATGTGCAGGTTTGTTATATAGGTAAACGTGTGCCGTAGTGGTTTGCTGCACAGGTCATCCCATCACCTAAGCATTAAGCCCAGCATCAATTAGCTATTCTTCCTGATACGCTCCCTCCCTTCCTCCTTCTCCCCCCACCACAGACCAGTGTGTCGTTTCCTCCCATGTGTGCATGTGTTTTCATTGTTCAGCTCCCGCTTATATGTTAGAACATGCAGTGTTTGGTTTTCTATTCTTTCATTAGTTTGCTGAGGATATTGGTTTCCAGCTCTATCCATGGTCCTGCAAAGGACATGATCCCATTTTTTATGGCTGCATAGTTTTCTGTGGTGTATATGTACCACATTTTCTTTATCTATGCTATCATTGATGGGCATTTGAGTTGATTCCATGTCTTTGCTATTGTGAATAGTGCTGCAATGAACATACGTGTGCATGTATCTTTATAAGAGAATGATTTTTATTCCTTTGGTTATATACCCAGTAATGGGATTGCTGGGTCAAATGGTATTTCTGGTTCTAAATCTTTGAGGAATCGCCACACTGTCTTCCAGAATAGTTGAACTAATTTACATTCCCATGAACAGTGTAGAAGTTTTCCTGTTTCTGCACAACCTTGCCAGCATCTGGTGTTTTTAAAATTTTTTTTATTAGACTTTAAGTTCTAGGGTACATGTGCACAACGTGCAGATTTGTTACATATGTATACATGTGCCATGTTGGTGTGCTGCACCCATTAACTCGTCATTTACATTAGGTATATCTCCTAATGCTATCTCTCCCATGCCGGCTCCCCACAATAGGACCCGGTGTGTGATGTTCCCCTTCCTGTGTCCAAGCGATCTCATTGTTCAATTCCCACCTATGAGTGAGAACATGCAATATTTGGTTATTTATTGATTTTTCTGAGAAGGAATATCGTTCTGTCACCCAGACTGAAATGCAGGCAGTGACGGGATCTCAGTTCACTGCAACCTCTGCCTTACAGATTCAAGCCATTCTTGTGCCTCAGCCCCTCAAGGAGCTGGGATTTAAGGCATACACCACCTCGTCCTACTAATTTTTGTATCTTTAGTAGAGATGAGATTTCACAGTATTGGCCAGGCTAGTCTTGAACTCCTGACCTCAAGTAATACACTTACCTCAGCCTCCCAAAATCCTGGGATTCCAAGTGTGAGTCACCATGCCTGGCTTATTGTTTTTTGACTTTTTAATAATTGCCATTCTGACTGGTGTGATGTAATATCTCATTGTGGTTTTGATTTGCATTTCTCCAATGATTAATTATGTTGAGCTTTTTTTCATATGATTATTATCTGCACGTATGTCTTCTCTTAAGAACTGTCTGTTCATGTTCTTTGCCCACCTTTTAATGGGGTTGGTTTTTTCTTGTAAATTTGTTTAAGTTTCTTATAGACTCCGGATACTAGACCTTTGCCAGATGAATAAATTGAAAAAATTTTCTCCCATTCTGTAGGTTGTCTGTTCCTCTGATGATAGTTTCTTTTGCTGTGCAGAAGCTATTTAGTTTAATTGGATCTCATTTGTCAATTTTTGCTTTTGTTGCAATTGCTTTGGGCATTTTCATCATGAAATTTCTGCCCGTGTCTATGTCCTAAATGGTATTGCCTAGATTTTCTTCTAGGGTTTTCATATTTTTAACTTTTACACTTAAGTCTTTAATATATCTTGAGTTCATTTTTGTATAAGGTGTAAGGAAGGGGTTTAATTTCATTTTTCTGCATATGGTTAGCCAGTTCTCCCAGCACCGTTTATTAAATAGGTCATACTTTCCCCGTTGCTTGCTTCTGTCAGGTTTGTTGAAGATCAGATGGTTGTAGATGTGTGGTTTTATTTCTGAGTGCTCTATTCTGCCCCATTGGTCTATATGTCTTTTTTTGTATGGCTATCATGTTGTTTTGGTTACTGTCGCCTTGTAGTATAGTTTGATGTTGAGTAGTGTGATTGCTCTAACTTTGTTCTTTTTACTTAGGATTGTCCTGGCTACACGACCTCTTCTTTTGGCTCCTTATGAATTTTAAAATTGTTTTTTCTAATTCTGCAAAGAATGTCATAGTAGTTTATTGGGAATAACATTGAATCTATAAATTGCTTTGGACAGTATGGTCAGTTTTGCAATATTGATTCTTCCTATCCATGAGCATGAAATGTTTTTCCATCTGTTTGTGTCTTCTCTAATTTCCTTGAACAGTAGTTTATAATTCTCCTTGAAGAGGTCTTTCACTTTCATTGTTAGCTGTTATCCTAGGTATTTTGTTCTCTTGGTGGCAATTGTGAATGGGAGTTCATTCATGATTTGGCCTTCTATTTGTCTGTTGTTGGTGTATAGGAATGCTTGCCATTTCTGCACATTGTTTTTGTAGCCAGAGACTTTGCTGAAGTTGCTTATAGCTTAAGAAGCTTTTGGGCTGAGTCAAGGAGGTTTTCTAGATATAGGATCATGTCATCTGCAAACAAAGACAATTTGACTTTCTCTCTTCTTTTTGAATACCCTTTATTTCTTTCTTTTGCCTGATTGCCCTGGCCGGAACTTCCAATACTATGTTGAATAAGAGTGGTGAGAGAGGGCATCCTTGTCTTGCGTCAGTTTTCAAGGGGAATGCTTCCAGCTTTTGCCCATTTAGTATGATGCTGGCTGTGGGTTTGTAATAAATGGCTCTTATTATTTTAAGGAGTAGGTTTTCAATACCTAGGTTATTGAAAGTTTTTAACAAGAACGATGATGAATTTTATCAAAGGCCTTTTCTCCATCTATTGAGATATTCATGTGTTTTTGTCTTTAGTTTTGTTTATGTGATGAATTATGTGTATTGATTTGTGTATGTTGAACCAGGCTTGCATCCCGGGGATAAAGACAATTTGATCGTGGTGGGTAAGTTTTTTTTTTGAGACAGACTCTCACGCTGTCATCCAGGCTGGAGTGCAATGGCACAGTCTTGGCTCACTGCAACCTCCGCCTCCCGGGTTCAAGTGATTCTCCTGCCTCAGCCTCCCAACTAGCTGAGACTACAGGCACGTGCCACCACGCCGGGCTAATTTTTGTACTTTTAGTGGAAACAGGGTTTCACTATGTTGGTCAGACTGGCCTTGAACTCCTGACTTTGTGATCCACCTGCCTCAGCCTCCCAAAGTGCTGGGATTACAGGCGTGAGCCACCGCGCCCAGCCAGATAAGCTTTTTGATGTGCAGCTGGATTCACTTTGCTACTATTTTATTAAGGATTTTTGCATCATTGTTCATCAGGGATATTGGTCTGAAGTTTTCTTTTTTTG